GAATATCCCCAAACCCCTTGTCCCAAAATCCCTGGGAATATCCCCAAACCCCTTGTCCCAAAATCCCTGGGAATATCCCCAAACCCCTCATCCCGAAATCCCTGGGAATATCCCCAAACCCCTCGGCCCCGGGAATATCCCCAAACCCCTCATCCCTTTTCCTATTGACCATCCTGAAATCCCTGGGAATATCCCCAAACCCCTCGGCCCTGGGAATATCCCCAAACCCCTCATCCCAAAATCCCTGGGAATATCCCCAAACCCCTCGTTCCTTCCTGCTGAACGTCCCTAAAATCCCTGGGAATGTCCCCAAACCCCTCGGCCCCGGGAATATCCCCAAAGCCCTCATCCCTTTTCCTATTGACCATCCTGAAATCCCCGGGAATATCCCCAAACCCCTCATCCCTTTTCCTATTGACCATCCTGAAATCCCTGGGAATATCCCCAAACCCCTCGGCCCCGGGAATATCCCCAAACCCCTCGTCCCGAAATCCCTGGGAATATCCCCAAACCCCTTGGCCCCGGGAATATCCCCAAAGCCCTCATCCCTTTTCCTACTGACCATCCTGAAATCCCTGGGAATATCCCCAAACCCCTCATTCCTTCCTACTGAACATCCCTAAAATCCCTGGGAATATCCCCAAACCCCTCGTCCTGAAATCCCTGGGAATATCCCCAAACCCCTCATCCCTTCCTACTGAACATCCCTAAAATCCCTGGAAATATCCCCCAACCCCTTGTCCCTTTTCCTATTGAACATCCCTAAAATCCCTGGGAATATTCCCAAACCCCTCATCCCGAAATCCCTGGGAATATCCCCAAACCCCTCATCCCAAAATCCCTGGGAATATCCCCAAATCCCTCATCCCAAAATCCCCAGGAATATCCCCAAATCCCTCATCCTAAAATCCCTGGGAATATCCCCAAACCCCTGGTCCCAAAATCCCTGGGAATATCCCTGAACCCCTCATCCCTTTTCCTACTGAACATCCCGAAATCCCTGGGAATATTCCCAGAGGAGACCTGGGAATGAGGTTTAAACCCCCCCCCTCCCTCCAGAGCCCAAAAGGTCCTTTTTTTCCCCTCGGGATTTCCCGTCATTCCCAACCTTCCGGGACACGATTCCCCGGGAAAAACTGGGAATAAAGGAGCTGGAAAAGGGGGGAAAAATGCCCAAAATGTACCTTTTTGTAGGTGGTTTC